GTGCTCCCCTTCCCACCCAGCTCCCTGCTTGTGGCCTGGGAAAGCAGTAGAGGAAGGCCCAAAGCCTTGGGACCCTGCATCTGGCCTGGGAAAGCAGTAGAGGATGGCCCAAAAGCTGTGGGATCTTGCACTTGTCTGGGATATAAAGAAGAAGCTCCTTGTTCTGGCTTTGGGTCTGCTTCAGCCCAGCCACTGCAGCCATTTGGGGAGTGAACCAGCAGGTAGAAGATCTTTCTGTTTCTCCTTCTCTCTGTAAATCTGCATTTCCAATAAAAATAAGCAAATATTTTTAAAAGATGCTTTACATAGATACAGAATTTCAAAACTCAGTATGAGAAAAGGCTCTAAGAGGTCTTTTTTTTAGATCAATTATTTGAAAGGCAGGGTTGGGGAGAGAGAAAGAAAAATGAGACTTCCATCCACTGGTGCACAATGGCCACGATGGCCAAAGCTGAGCCAATCCAAAGCCAGGAGCCTCCTCTGAGTCCCTCAGGTGGGAGGGAGCAGGGGCCCAGGCATTTGGGCTTTTCCAGACCATTGGCTCCGAGCTAGAACAGAAGTGCAGCAGCCGGGACTTGAACTGGTACCCATATAGGATGCTGGTGTCAATGGTGGTTTTATTTGACATGCTACAACGCCAGCCTGTGAAATGCCATTTTCAGATCAATTATAGAATCACTTTTGATAGAATAATAAATTATTAAAATGGATGTCATCCTCCCTTAGCCTTTTACAATGAAGTCATTTGAAAGGTTTGCATGTGGTTTGCACGTTCTTCCTGCTGGGCGGCACTGCGTGTGCCTATGTCCTTGTACTTCCAGAGTGGGAGCTCCAGGGAGAGAACAACCTGGCCTTCTGCACTGTCAGGTTGCTGAGGCTGAGCTCTGAGTCTGCCCCCAATCAGAGCTTCCCTAAGTGTTTGTTGAGCCGACTGGAATCCAAACCCACCCTCCCACGCACCCCTGGTCGAGTTTTCCAGGACTATACCCTCCCCACTACCACAAAACACAGTAAAGGCACAAGGACATAAGATGTTCGAAATGACTTTCAGTTGTACAGCAAATGGCTTCATTTCTTTGTACCTGTTTGCTCATCTGAGAAATAGAGAAAGGCAAGGATGACACTCAATACTATGGAAAGACAAGGGCCAGCTCCTATCACTAAAGCATGGAACAGGATAAGACCTCTGGTCAACTTTTAGCCATAGAAAGTGGGCCAACAGCAACTGCAGGCCTAGGCACAAGACCTGCAGCAAGAGGAGAGCAAGCTGGGCTGTGTCATAACATGGCAGAGGAAGTCATCACACAGAGAACTGTACTCGTGACAGGGATGTCTAAAGCTGGGCACAGACCAATCTGGACTCCTGTGATCAGGTTGTCTCTTCCTTTTTTTTTTTAAAGATTTATTTTAATTATTTTTTTTTTATTGGAAAGGCGGATATACAGAGAGGAGAGACAGAGAGGAAGATCTTCTGTCCGATGATTCACTCCCCAAGTGAGCACAACGGCCGATACTATGCCGATCTGAAGCCAGGAGCCTCTTCCGGGTCTCCCACACAGGTGCAGGGTCCCAAAGCTTTGGGCTGTCCTCGACTGCTCCTCCGGGCCACAGGCAGGGAGCTGGAAGGGAAGCGGGGCTGCCGGGATTAGAACCAGCGCCCATCTGGGATCCCGGGCGTGCAAGGCGAGGACCTTAACCACTGCGCCATCGCGCCAGGCCCCAATCAGGTTGTCTCTTTGGACACATGGATACAGCATGACTTATGCCTGTAAACAACGCGTCTAGAGGCTGTAGGAGCTAACAGCCACTTATCTGGTATTCCCTATGGTCACAATCTCAGAGAACACCCTTGCCACGAGTGAATGGAAGCAGGAGAGATGTTCCTGGGTGGAGGTCTTGCCAACAAGGTTCTCAATCTTGGGGTTACCAATTAGAATTGCCAAAGGAGGCTTTGGAAATCTCATTACTGGGCCAGATCTCAAACCAATTAAATCCGAATCCCTGATTCTGTAGTGCTCCCGGGGTTTTTCCAAAATGCAACCAAGGCTGTACCAAAGCTGTTAATCCCCTTTCACTTCAGTGTGTTGCCAAACACCTGGAAAGGGCAGGGCCGGCAAGCTCAGGGAACCACCTTGGCTCTAGCGCTTCTGGGCTGTGTGGTCTTAGGCAAGTTACTGACACCCTTGAGCTGCGTTTCCTCAAGTGAAAAGGGAGCCACAGGTGTGGGGAGGATAAAGCGAATGTGATGACCTGGGTGGAGTGCCCTGACACATAGCAAGGACTTAAGGAGCTGTAGGTGCTGTCCCTTTCCGTAGCTCCTTCCCCCTGGGGGAGATGATTCCTGTCTGTGGTAGGGCTACTTCGCTGCCTTCCACCTCCACGCCACACTAGCAGCGGAGATGATGTGAGTAAAAGTACTTTGCAGACCAAGGTATCTCCAGGCAGGACATGCCTGTGAATCACAGGGGACCTTGTTAACATACGGAGGTTGATTACCAAGGTCTAAGGTGGGACCAAACCCACAAGATCTGGAATTTCTAATAAGCTCCCAGGAGATGAGATGCTACTGATCCCGGGCCCACACCGGGAGTCCCAGACTCCGTGGTAAAGCTCTTTACAGAAATGAAGCACGGCTAGCGTTTCCTTCACACGCTTTTAGGAAACACCATCATTTTAACTATTCTGTTGAACGTTCATTTTTTTTTTTTAAATTCTTGAGGGACTTTACAGCGAGCTCAACCTCTTTCAAGGAACTGTACTGAAGCAGACATTCTATATGGGAAAATTCAAAGTTCAAGGTGGTTATTTGACCATCTAGTTTTCCCTGTACCCTTTTGGGCACTCACCATCAATTCAGTTCGACCCGATGAACACACACCAGGATCTCAACAGTGTGGCCTTCCCTGCCTCAGGAATTAAAGAGCCTGAGCTCTGCTCCTGAGACCAAGCGAGGATTCACCACCACCTCCAATGACCTTGTGTCTCTTCTAGGGTTTTTGAGAGGGTGACAAGAAACTGCTTCTTTGATGCTTTAGAGGTGTTATCTTCCTAAGGGTGCTGTTACTCCTTAGCAATGTCAACACTGGGAGCACCCCATCAGGATGGCAGTGGGGAGGGGTTAGCTTTATACATACGCATCCAGCTTTACATGTAAAAATATCATTGGAGAGATGGGGCCTGAAAAACCTTCTGGGAGAACACATGCGTGGGGAGAGAACTGACTACTCAAGGTTTTTTTTCCCCCTCCTATGGAAGATAATTTTGCAAACCAGCCTTGAAAGTCTGCTTTGTCTTTTGGAAAATCTGGATTTTTCATTTTGCTACACGGGCAGATAGGATCCCTGCTGCTCAGCTCCAACGCATGCTCCTTTCTGCCCATGGATTCCCGTGGTTGGATTAGTTTGCTTGCTTATTTTTCTTCTCTCTCTCTCTAATAGACATAGCTTCACCAGTCACCAGCAAAGACAGGATAAAAAAAAATCAATGTGGATACTTTTTCCTAAATTACAATAGCTAATTCTAAAACAGACAAGGAAGCCAGAAGTCATTACTGTCAAAGACACAGGAAGATGCTCAGTCATCCCCTTGCCCAGCTCTGACCATCAAAAGCACTGGACTCGGGACTCAAGTTCTGCATATGAAATGTCACAGTATTTGCATATAGTCTACATACATCTTCACAAATTCTTTTTTTTTTTTATTATGTATTTCTTTGAAAGGCTCAGTATAGGGTTTGGGAAGGAGAGACACAGAATCTTCCATTAGCCAATTCACTTTCTAAATGGCTGCCACAGCTAAACAACAGGGGTTGGTCTTATGTTAGGAGCAAAGAAAACAAAAATCCAAGAAAGCCTTTCTGTCTTGAAATGTTCATCTAAAAAATTAGGTATTACCTTGAGAGGCTGTGGATGAAAATATCAGAGAGCAGGGGCAAGCACTGTGGCACAGCTGCTTAAGCCAGGACCTGGGTCGCCAGTATCCCACATCAGAACCCAACTTGATTCCCTGACTGCTCCACTTTTGATCCAGCTCCCTACTGATGTACCAGGGAAAGCAGTGGAAGATGGCCCACATGCTTGGATTTAGGAGACCCAGATGGAGTTCCAGGATCCTGGCTTCAGACAGTATGGCCATGTCGGGGAGTGCACCAACGAGATGGAAGATCCCTTTCTCTCTCTCTCTCCTTCCTGCCATCAATCTGCCTTTCAGATAAATTGGGACAGCCTTTAAAAAGCAAAAGCAAAAATTCATAGTTCTCAGATCTGTATTTGTGGCTGAAGGTCAGTGTCCTGATAATTTTGTGTGTCAGCCATGTACCAAAGCCATGATCTTGGGCCTCATTTCTTCATCTATGAAATGGTAATGGCATCTACCTAGACAGGGTGTTCTAAGGAGTAAGAGATGTGCAAATTAAAGACTTAATGCAGTGCTTGGAACAGAATCTTGCTCAGTAAATGGCTACTATTTTAATTTTAAAGACTGAAGGTTCCATGTACTGGTTCTGATTATTTTCTTTTCTTGCTGGACTAATCTCTGAGTCAGCACTAGGAAAAAAACACCCACTCATGACTCCGTGGATTTCAGAACTTGCAACCTGTGGTGCCAAGCAAGCTACAGGCAGCTCATCTGTGTTGTGCCCGCAGTCTCCAGGGTTCACACTGCAGGAAAAGGAAACATGCTCGACTATTTGCAATAAAATAAAGAAAAAAAAAAAAACAGAAAAGAAGGGAAATGTAAGACATCAAATAACTGACTGTACAGCTTGAGATGCTCGTTTTTACAGATACCAATTCCCAAGAGTGGCATGGTGGGAGCCACGGAAGAGCACCACACACCTTACACAGGCAACTCCTTCCAAACAGAAATAGTGAACATAAGTCCAGTGTACTTCATGAACACACTTACAGTACGCCCAGGACAGCGGGTAGCATGCCAACAGCCAGGAGGAACGGGCTCTCTTCTGGGCTGAGCTCTGAAATCTGTTGTGTGACCTCACATGAGTCAAAAACCCTCCCCCTGGCGCTTGCTAAAATGGGAACAATACTGAGAATATTGACGTGCCCCCCTGTGCAAGGATGACATGTAAGTTTGTGAAATATTCCCAATTTTTGTAAGGGGGGGGAAGGGGGAGGTAGAGAGGGGAAGAACTCCTATGCTTCTAAATCTGTATTGTGAAAAACAAGAGATCTATTCGTGTTACATAAATTTAAAAATAATTTTTAAAAATCCTCCCCAAACATAACTTTTCTCATCTATAAAGTAAGAGTTTGACTGAATGCTATTTTATGAAAAGCCTTTCTAGTTCTAAAATGAATTCCAGGGCATGCTCATGTTTTAATTTTCCGTCAAGAGTCCGACGCTGCTGGAAGACTTCCCTGGGCAGCGACACCGCGATCACAGGCTGACGGAACCAAACGGCAGACAACACCTCAAGCATTTCAGACAACGCATATCTACGTAAGGACAGAATGTGCCGGTGGCTCTTGAAAATTGTTCCAGCTCCTCCTAAAGAGTCAGACACACTCAAAAACCAAGAGAATCCGTTTGTTCTGGCCTAACAGTTGCTAATTGGGGATTTTAAGAGGAATAGGGGGTTCAGTATGGCAACTAAGCTTTGGGGGCCCAATTGTGGCTGGCTCTGCGATCCCCATGCGCACCCACCGCACCCACCCACTTTCAGTAATCTCCTAAGAAATGGCAGAGAGTACAGAGACTGTTCCGTACCTAGGAGAGCATCTCCTGGGTCAGCACGGCTGTACCGTTTGCACCCTCACAGCCGCGGGGAAGAATCTGCACTGCTCTGCACCCTCCGTGGCTCTCGCTATCATCACGCTGTCTTTTGGTCTTACTGAGATGCTCACATCGCACATCGGAGAACCTGCGTTCCATACCTGTCTTGAGCTGCTGATGCCCACTTTCTGCTGATACAGTCCCTGGGCAGCAGCCAAGAGGACCAAGTAATTGGGTTCCTGGTATTCATGTGGACCTGGACTACATTACTGGCCCAGGTCAGTCCCGGCCACTGTGGGGATTTATGGTGTAAACTGGCAGATGGGAGGTCTCTCTGTAAGTCTTCCTTTTACGTAATGAAAAGAAATTGGGATCACAGTGTATAATTCTTGGGGCCAGGATTGTGGCACAGTGAGTAAAGCTGCAATCTGTAACACCAGTCATCACATAGGGACATTGGTTCATGTCCTGGCTGCTCCATTTCTGATCAAACTCCCTGCTAATGGCCCGGGGAAAGCAGTGGAAGATGGCCCAGGTTGTTGGGCCTTTTGCTTGGTGTATAGAAAACCTGGGAGAAGCTCCTGGCTCTTGCCTTCAGCCTGGTCCAGTCCTGGCCATTGTGGCCATGTGGGCATAGAGCTAGTTGGTGGAAGAGTTCTGTCCCCGTCTCCCTCTCTCTTATCTCTAACTTTCAGACAAATAAATAAATATATATATTTGAAAGTGATATACAATTCTTACATATTGCTAAATTCTATCTAATAATTTTGAGAGTTTTATCTAATTCATTATACACCACATGGACATACACAGATATCTGTAAAATCTTTGAATTATTTTAATAACAAGGCAAGAATGATTTTGTAGAATCAGTTCTGAAGTATTCTCCCTGAGATTTTGTGTAGCATTTGCATTGATTCTTTAAATGTTTGGCAGAATTTGCCAGGGAAATCGCCTAGAACTGGATTTCTTTTGGGGAAAGTTTTTTCTTGTTTGTTCTTTTTTTAAGATTTATTTTTAAATCTAAAAGAACTACAGAGAGATGGAGATATATAGACACAGAGAGAGAAAGAGACAGATGGCTAGAGAAATCTTCCATCTGCTGGCTCACTCCCCAAATGCTTGCCATGGCCAGAGCCGAGCCAATCTGAAGCCAGGAGCCAGGAGCTTCTTCCAGGTTTCTCACATGAGCTCAGAGGCCCAAGGACTTAAACAATCCTCTGCTGCTTTCCAAAGCAGGGTGCTGGATAGGAAGTGGAACAGCCAGGACACGAACCGGTGCCCATGGGGGATGCCAGCATTGCAGGTGGAGGTTTAGCCTGATATACCACAGGAGAGGCCTATAAAAATATATCTTCAAGATGACATCTAAATATATATTAGACTAATACAGACGAGGAATCTGCCCCTTCTTCATTTTCAGTTTATCTCAATTAACAGTGCATCAACCCAAAAGCTTTTCAGTCACTTCTAATTCCTCTCCTCTGCTTACCCTTAATATCCAATCACTTAGTCCTCAACTCTCCACTGTAAAATCCGACCCACATCGTCCCACCTGTATCGGTTCTACGCCTCCCTCTTCAGTCACAGATGCCATCGCGACCATTCGCGTGGTTACCATGACTTGTGTCTCCAGCCCCTCGGGGAAAGTTTTTAATTGTGAATTTCATTTTCTTAGCAGTTATAGCTCTACTCAAATAATTGCTTTTTCAAAGCATTGGTCCACGTTGCTGCGTTATCAAATTTAGAGAGTTGTTCATTGCATTTCTTTTTCCTTTTGATGTTTCCAGGGTCTGCATGGTAGCTTCTGTTTCATTCCCAATATTCGTGATTTGTGCCTTTTCTCATTTTTCTTTATTAGTTTTGCTACAAGTCTGTCAATTTAATTGATCTTTTCAAAGAACCGGCTCTTAGTCCCACTGACTGTCTCTATTGTTTTTCTGTTACTTTATTGTCTTGCTTTTTTCCATTTCATTGATTTCTGCTCTTATCTTTATTGCGTCTTTCATTTGGTGCTTTGTGCTTATGTCGAAGGCTTCTTTTTATTTTTTTTTCCCTAGGTTCTTGGGGTGGTAATTTAGATCACTGTTTTGACATTTTTTGTTATTTCTTTTTTATATAATATAAGCATTTAGTATTCTGAGTTCCTCTTTAGTTGAGCTGCTTTAGTTAAGTCCCATCAATTGTGGTATTTTTGATTGGATTCAATTTTTTTTTATACTCCTGAGAATTTATCTTGGACCCAAAGATGATTTTTTTTTTTAAATGCTTAGCTTAGTTCCCAAATGTTTGGAGATTTTACAGTTTCTACTGCTGATTGCTACTTTGGTTTATTATTGTCAGAGAACATATTCAGTAGGATTTCAATTATTTTAGGATTGCTGAGGTTCAGAACCAGCATGGTAGTCTAGTGGCCAAAGTCCTTGCCTTGCATGTGCTGGGATCCCATATGGGTACTGACTCATATCCTGGGTGCTCTGCTTTCCATCCAGCCTACCTGTTTATGACCTGGGAAAGCAATAGAGGATGGCCCACAATATGAGCCAATCTGAAGTCAGGAGCTAGGAGCTTCTTCCAGGTCTTGCATGCAGGTACATGGTCCTAAGGCTTGGGACTGTCCTCAATTGCTTTCCCAAGCTACAAGCAGGAAGATGGATGAGAAACAGAGTAGCCAGGACACGAACCGGTGTCTAAATGGGATCCTGGCATAGGCAGGGCAAGGATTTAGCCGCTATGCTATCGTGCCGGGCCAGGTTTGCATTTTTGTTGGATGTGGAAGTCTAGCTTGGCATGGTACTTTTCTTTTTCAGCATTTGAAAAATGTTCCACCGCTTCCTGTGGTTTTAAATTCCACTGTCATTTGAGTTGTTGTTTTTTTTTTTCCATATGTTTCTCATTGGTTGTCTAGCCTCAGTTTTCTCAAGTTTGACTACAAAGCATCTTAGTGTATGTGTTTTGGGTTTATTCTATTAGGGCTCATTCAATTTCTTCAATGTGTAGATTTATGTTTTCAACAATGTTGGGAAATTTCAGTCATTTTCCCCCAAGATTTGATTTATTTATTTGAAAGAGCTAGAATGAGAAAGAGAGGGAGGGAGAGAGACTGATTTTCCATCTGCTGGTTCACTTCCCAGATGACCATAATGAACAGGGTTGGGCCAGTCCAAAGCCAGGAGCCAGAAGCTTCATCCTGGTCTTCCACATGGGGTTGGGGTGCCAGGAACATGGGTCACGTCTCTGTGTCTTTCCTGGGTGCATCAGCAGGGAGCTTCATTGGAGGCAGGGCAGCCTGGACTTGCAGGTCGTGGCTGTTATGCCGCAGTGCTGGTCCCCGTTATTTCCCCAAGTACTTTTGAAGCCCCATTCCCTTCCTGCTTCTTTCTGAGACTCATTTGACATGGATGCTAAGTCCTTGCTATTTTTTTTTTCAGTCTATTTTATCTACTTCACAGATTAGGCAATTTCTATTGTCCCATCTTCCAGTTCATTGATTCTTTTTTTTATTAAAGATTTATTTTAATTATTTTTTTTATTGGAAAGGCGGATATACAGAGAGGAGAGACAGAGAGGAAGATCTTCCGTCCGATGATTCACTCCCCAAGTGAGTGCAATGGCCGATGCTATGCCAATCCGAAGCCAGGAGCCTCTTCCAGGTCTCCCACACGGGTGCAGGGTCCCAAAGCTTTGGGCTGTCCTGACTGCTTTCCCAGGCCACAGGCAGGGAGCTGGAAAGGAAGTGGGGCTGCCGGGATAGAACCAGTGCCCATATGGGATCCCGGGCATGCAAGGTGAGGACCTTAACCACTGCGCCACTGCGCCGGGCCAATTGATTCTTTCTTTTGTCTTTTTCAGGCTGTTGTTGAGCCTTCTATTTAACTTCTAATATGTTCTGTTCTAAAATTCCCATATATATCTATACGTAGGTATATAGATATATATTTTTTTCTTTATAGCTCCTATTCCTTTGCTGAGACTGGTTATTGTTTTCCCGTTAGTTTTAAGCTTATTCATAGTTACTCACTGAAGCATTTTACGCTGTTTAAAACGCTTGTTGCATTGGGTGCAACAGTTAAGACACCGCCTGGGACACCTACATTTCATACTGGAATCCCTGGGATCAAGTCCTGGCTCTGGTTCAAATTGCTTTTTCTAATATGCACCCCGGGAGCTGGCACTTGATGCCCCAGGTACTTCGGCCCGGCCACACACATGGGGGACCTGAAATGAGTTCCAGGCTCCTGGCTTTGGGCTGACTCACACCGGTGGGAAAGTGTTCAGAGAATGAATCAGTGCATTCAAGATCTCTCTCTCCCCTCGTCATCCTCCCCTCCCTCTCCTCCTTTCAGAGAATAATAAACAAAATCTTTATCAGATAATTCT